TCTCTCCTCTGTGCAGGAGAGCGAGGTGAAGTGGGCGTCTCGATGGGACACTTACCTGACCATGAGCGACGTCCAAATTCACTGGTTCTCCATCGTCAACTCCGTGGTGGTCGTCTTCTTCCTGTCCGGTAAGTCCTATTTTTGGCAAATCCTGCTCAGCGCAACTGTCGTAGAGTTTGCACTCCACAACTGTCAAAGGCGTTGGATCGCTGTGCTGCGCTGATTCTGCAGTGCTCCATCATCAGACTCTGACCTGTTCCTGAACTGGGCTATACGAGGCAGGCACAACGGACTGACTAAATGTGAACTTGCATATTTAACCATATACTTCAAATCTGTATCGTCTACAATCGAGTGTGGTCGCATATGTGCAGCGATACTCTGTGGCATTAGTTATTTTGGAACGGTCTGAATCCGTAGTGCGAGAGTGCTTGAACATATTGGAGGGAAGGACTCGCCATCCAGTCCGTTCCGCCTGTGCAAGTAGTAGACACAAACAGCTGTTTGGGTCAGAGGGGTACCGAAAGGATGGTGCATACCCAACGGTTCAATAGAAAAAAACATACTGTTACATCCCTACTATACATGATGTCTGACATAGAACATCTATAGATTGATTACAGCGTGGGAGGTGGTGAGATTCCGGTCTTTCCAGCTGACTGACTCCTTCTCGTTCCCTGCCTTTCCTCCGTTCAGGTATTCTGAGTATGATCATCATCCGGACCTTGAGGAAGGACATTGCTAACTACAACAGAGAGGACGACATAGTAAGAAAATACACAGTTTGCTTGGTCTCAGCAGGTCTTTGGGGAAAGAATGCATATGTCTTTGAGAAGATTGTACAATCGTTTCTTTCTCCTGTCCGACCAGGAGGACACCATGGAGGAGTCGGGATGGAAGAATGTCCACGGTGACGTCTTCAGGCCGCCCCAGTATCCCATGGTCCTCAGCTCTCTGCTGGGCTCGGGGATCCAGCTCTTTTGCATGATCCTCATTGTCATATGTGAGTCATTTCTTTCTCTATGATCAGTTCCCTGTAGATGCTCACAGTGTGTACAATCTTACTAGAATGATCCCGCTGGATGATCGTACGCCTCAAAAGGGTTCAATCCAACAGCTCTGTTATCTTAGAGGAAAACATACAAATTACAAATGTAAATGTTTTGCTGCAAAGCCTAAAAATATCAAGATGTTATTTATGAGCCATATCTTCCATCCCTATAAAGTCATTGTAATCTATGAAATGCTCTAACCACTCTGTGTGTGTGTGTGTGTGTGTGTGTGTGTGTGTGTGTGTGTGTGTGTCATATAGTTGTTGCCATGTTGGGCATGCTGTCTCCATCCAGTAGAGGAGCCTTGATGACCACCGCTTGCTTTCTCTTCATGTTCATGGGGTACGAGCCGTATTCATCTCTGATAAAATCCCAAAGAGTCGAGGGTTTCTTTGTTTTCACTCTGCTTTTATCTGTGGATGTGTTTCCTCCAGTGTATTCGGTGGCTACTTCGCCGGCAGACTGTACCGTACACTGAAGGGCCATCGGTGGAGGAAAGGAGCATTTTGTGTAAGTCAGACACAAACCAGGGTTGAATACTATATTTACGTTTATCTAGTTCCATGCTGCGTACTGGTGGTAAACCAAGAAGCCTTACTGTACATTGGTGTTGCTGAGGTTGTGTTTGTGTTTCCGTCTCCCCTGTAGACAGCTACTTTGTATCCCGCCGTGGTGTTTGTAATCGGCTTCATCCTCAACTGCTTCATCTGGGGAGAACACTCCTCTGGGGCCGTGAGTACCACCACTCGCATACATGGAACTTCAAATGGATGCAACTTTAAGACGCTAGCTAGAAGGCTAATTACTTTTTACAGTCGGGACGTTAATATAAGCTTTGTAGCAGATCAGAAAAATGTTTGTAGAAATGTTCAGTGACCTTCTAAAGTAGCAGGTGAGGAAGAAAAAGAAACGCCCTGCTCTCTTCTCTCTCCACTCCAGGTCCCCTTCACCACCATGCTGGCCCTGCTGTGCATGTGGTTCGGCATCTCCATGCCCCTGGTCTACCTGGGCTACTACTTTGGCTTCCGCAAACAGCCTTATGATAACCCAGTGCGCACCAACCAGATCCCCCGGCAGGTCCCGGAGCAGCGCTGGTACATGAACAAGTTTGTAGGGTGAGTGTGCAACCAATCCAGCCATCTGCTTTCAGCCTCTGGCTGTGTGCTGGGAGGGCTGACCTTCTTTGAGGCTTTGAACCTTTTGAGTTGAGCTTTCTCAACAATCAAAATGTCATCTTTTCTTTCCTCTAGAATCCTGATGGCCGGGATCCTTCCATTTGGTGCCATGTTCATCGAGCTCTTCTTCATTTTCAGCGTGAGTACCACCGCTCTGCTCTAAATGTACTGGGATCAGTTCAAAGCGACATCACCGTCTCTTTCAGCACTGTACGTGCGTGCGCGTGTGTGTGTGTGTGTGTGTGTGTGTGTGTGTGTGTGTGTGTGTGTGTG